CCTTGTCTGACATGTTATCGTGCCGAATGCTAGTCCCCAATTGGTGTCCCCCCACAAAAAAACCCTGAGAGATAGATATATACGTAATTATATGGTTTAAGATGAATACATTATTTTCTGTTATGATTTAGTTTTTTATTTCCTGTCTCGCTAAATGGAACAGTACATCTTTCAACTCAAAATTCCCAATAAACCAAACAACATTCACTATACTATTCGTGTTTATCATGTGCGTCACTGTACCCTGTTGCATTTGCTCCATTTTACGGGACTGTATGACCAGTATGATTAAATGTTATAAAATATGTTTACCATATCTTTGTTTAAACATTTTTTGATACTTTGATTTTTTGACTTTTTAAATAAATGTGAACATCGCCCTCTAGAGATGAGTTCATCTAAAACTTTGTATTTGTAACAATCCGTTCTTTAATATTTCGTTTTATTTTGAAATAGCGGAGAAAAACAAGTATCGTGGAATATTGATTAAATTAACATCTAAGCAAAACATACATTGCTTCTACATAAACTTCAACGAACCTCTTAAAATCTACGATATTCTGATTATGAAGACATTCGAGGCAGTTTCGGTATGTTACTTGCAATTTAATCTTTTTGTATCCTGGTAATTAGATGCTCGTCTCTCAAGCCCAAAATTCTAAAGTCAGTCAGTATTTGCAAAAAACCAAAACCAAGCCCTAAACCAAAAAAAAAACCAAACAAACAAACAAACAAAAAACAACTATACATATAGGCTTATTATAGTATTGTAACAAAAATTTGTAAATAAACTATATAATAGATATGATGATCACCATGCCCATATATGGATAAATCACACACATATTTGTAGCATAAACCTAACAATAGCTTGAACAAAGATTTATGATGTGATATCGAGGTTCAACAACACGGCACCGCCCCCCCCCCACCATCAACACAAATTATTACTACCGTATATCGGTGGACATTACACATAGTATAGCGTTATCATAAGTTAATAGGCTGGATGTTTTTTTTATTACAAGGACTTTTAACAGGTACAGTTAAAAGTCCTAGGTCACTACACTGATTATTTCACCAATATTCAAATCAGGTCTGATTTGTTAATTTCGTGCAGATTTTAATGTTACTTTTATAAACATATCTTTCGTCATAATCTTTATAGATGTCATTTCATTTTGACTGCATTCGTGGATTGCTCCCAGGACAGACTTACAAGGTAGCCGTTATAATGATGGCGCACGATTCCACTAGCAAAGAAGTTGAAAAGACTGTTACAATTCCATGTAAGTCACAGTTATACCGTACTTTAGCAGCCACACACGCCAGCAGTGAGTTTAATAAACCCTAACACCAAAAGTGGTCTCGATTTGGAGAGCGAACCTTTCTATTATCATACCATAAGAATGATGTAGCCCTATCCTGCTCTATACATTCCCTAATATAATTAACATTTCACTTGAGTTATAGTAACACCTCATTATCATCAATATCCTGTATTCTTGTGAACATATTATTTATTTTTTTGATTAATTCTGCAATAAACTACTAGACTCTACGTACGTTGTACGGTACTTGTGATTATTTACGTACTAGTAGAATAACATCCATTAAAAGATATTATATATCGAAACGTTATATATTTATATTATGTTAATGTTATTTTAACATAACTATCTGTCTACATCTTTTTTGTTGTCTCCTATGGCCTAGCCCTTCATGCAATGTAACATAACCTATATCTTGTGATTCTGTACATTTAATGTTTTAACACAATTTTTCATATATTTTAATATCGTGAATGTATTTCACTGTATTTGGACAACGAAACTTTTAGCTCACACATCAACTAAATTATCTCATTTGGTAGGCCTCTTTTCATACCCATCTTTCAATACCAAATGAACCTTTCTGGAATGTCAATCAACCAATTAGAAAAGCGCCAATGATACACGTTTACGGCTATGTTCTCACACGGCAGCTAACTGTTAGCAGGATCCGGATTCTGCTAACCGTTAGCTGCCGTGCGTCCATGCGAGGAAATCCCGATCCGGATATCAACAATATGATGATCGAATCACTGGCCAATAAGAAACTGGAAATTGTAAACGCGTACGTGTGATTGGTTGATGATAGAAACGCCCTCAACTTGCTAACCGATAGCGCTAGCTAACCGTTAGCGTATCCGGATACCGCTAACGGTTAGCGCTAACCGATCGGGCGTTCTCACGCAGGGGCTAACGGTTAGCCCCGGCTCCGGATACTAGGACTGTCGTGAGAACCAGGCTTAAATACATTTTAGGATATTGATTTGTGGGATCTTAGCAACAGGCGCTGCGTAGCGGAAAGGTCCATTTTCTGTTCTTATCTTGGTTAGTCTAATCTCCATTTTCTTCCTAGCTTGCGTGGTGCAAGCGTTCAGAGATTAAGTATGTTCAAACCTGATGTCAAATCAAATGTATTGTTGCATTGAAATGTTTATTATGTTTATGTTTGTTTTTATTATTGTTGTAGTTTAATAGAATTTTTCAACTTTTATTTTTGCTTTGTTAAGGCTCGTTCACAACTGTCAACACTTTCACAAACGTACAACCATAACCGACTGTTCTCTGTTACCCCCTCCCTTGATATTGATATTACAAAACAACTAACTACTGTAAAGTACTGTTATGCTCACCTGTACATAAATTAATGTACATTCTATCTATTACTACCGTATTGCACTATAATTTGGTCATAAAGGTTCATGCACATTTAAAAACGTATAAATTGGTCTACCCCCACCCCCAGCATAATGTTTGTGCACTTGTGAAAATGCTAATATTTAGGAGCGACCTCTTACAAATATACATACAGTATACTGTATTGTATGTTTGTTTAGGAGTGCCTGTATAAAAATTACTCAATACCTTTAATTTTCTATGGTAAATTTTTAATTTGTAGTATTATTTTGTATGTACAATTTATTCCGTGTATATCTGCATATTTTATCAATGATTGTGTAAAAGTGTGCTTCATCTTTAGTTAATTTTCATATGTTTGTAATTTAAAGGCGTATGTTCTCATAAAGTAAATAAATAAATAAACACAAAACGTCCTTATAACGTTCGCGAACGTTGTGGTTAGGTATGTCACAGCATAACGTTTACACAACTTTGTAAGAACGTTCAAACGTTGTGACGTTGTGGCATTAGGTTATAAATACGTACATGGTTCTACAAAATAACTTTTTTTTTGTCACAAAATGTAACGTTATTATAACTTTTCTATAACGTAATGTTAGATGTGTTACTCTCCTTTTTAATGTTTTATAATAATAATAATAATAATAATAATAATAATAATAATAATAATAATAATAATAATAATAATAATAGGGAATTTGCTTAGACTAGTAATTTTAAACACTACTTTTTAATGGTTGATGGTATAATATACATTAATGGTTGTATTTCTTTTCTTCGAAATATAGGGGACGGAATGACCAATACTTTCATATCAGGTATTATGTTTTATATACTTGCATTAAGTGATAGTGTTGTGTGCATACATAGAGGGAATTTAAATTTGATTGTATCAAATCGGATTTGTATAGTAATTAGTATATAATAATACAGTGCTCAAATATATGGGAACATGATGTAATAAATCTATCAAACAGTT